TTCATTGGGTCCATAAATATTTATTATGGTTATATCTTCATGTTCAATTGATCCTTTAATCATTATATAATGTCCTTCTTTGTCTCGTATGGTGTAAACCCAGATATTCTTAAGAAGCGGTGAGATTGTTTACAATATACTATATTTTTGAAGTAACTTTTCAGGGGATTTAATTACAGTGGGAAACATTTCTATCAAATATTACTTTTTTTTAATGTAACATTAAAAATCTTTTGTTTATCACTTTAGATTGATTTTGGTGACACAAAAGATAAAGTGTTGGTGTTTTTCAAGCTTCGACCTGAAGTAGTTACCGACCAAAATCTACATGATAACATTCTTGTTTCATCTATGTTAGAGTCACCTATTAATTCTCTTTATCAAGCAGTGCGACAAGTGTTTGCGCCAGTGTTGTTGAAGGTGAGTAAGTTAAAGTAGCTATATGGTCATGATTCTTTTATTTAAGCATTTGAACAAATGTTTCCATAAAAATAAATATTTAGTATTAGTTACTTAATATTAGTAATTTTTAATATTATTAGTATATTTTAAAATTTACTATTAATGATATTATTGTAGCCTTTTAAAATATCTATTAACTTTTAGAGTAAGCTTTGTGATAGACAAATTGGAGAAAAGTGAAATGGTCAACCCATATCAGCTCTTAACATCTGTATAATAAAGGATTTTAGTAAAGTTTTAACTTCTGAGATGCAACCCCCACCAAAAAGAGCTCTGATAGCATAGTGGCTAAGGCACTTGACTACTAACAAGAAGGCTGGCGGTTCAAACCCACCAGCCACTCCTCGGAAGGAAGATGGGGCAATCTAGTGATACTGCCTCGGAAACCCGAGGAGGGGTCACTATGAGTCGGGTCCGACTTGACGTCAGATAACAACAACACGCCTTTCCCTAACCTGCCCACTTCTATGAAATAGAGAAAATGGCAGAATTTGAGTGAGGCAGGGTTATTTGGACTTAGTACTTTAGCCAGTGTTTTAGGAAGTCATTTGATCGGCAAGATTTTGATCAATGATTGCTCTTGTCTGTTTTTATTTAGGATCAGGAATGGAGCAGAAACTTTGATCCCAAACTTCAGAATCTTTTGAGTGAATTAGAAGCTGGATTGGGTATAGTTCTACGAAGATCAGACATTAACTTATCGAAGATGAAATTTAAGGAAGATGACACACGAGGTACATAATTATAGCTTAATCAGAAAGTCATAATGATTGTCTTGTTGGTACATTAATAAACAGACATATTTTTCATGGTTTCATTTTACACATTTGGAGCTTTTATGAGCATAAACTTCTTATAAATAAATTTATATAGATTTGTAGAAGAGGAAATTGTAATCTTTAAGATGTATTGTTCATAGAAATAAAAATAATTGTATACATTGCAAAGATAATAGGTTGGCAGCTTTTATTTTAAAATATATTTTATCTGATTATTATGTTATTATAGCAATAAGTAAATTATTATTCATTTATGATGAAATATATGACTTAAGTCATCATTTAAAAATATTCGGTATAGTTTATTCTTTGTTTGAATAATAAAATGGATGCTTTGGGATGTTTAGAGACCTGGAAAGAATGGTATGCTTATTTATAGCATATGACTAGGCATGGGAGATTATCTAGTTCATTGGAAAATTTAAAAACAAATTTAAAAATAAAACTTTTTTTTAAAAAAATATTTTGTGACTTAAGTGAAAGTTTACAGAGCAAATTCACTTTCCATGCAACAATTCGTACATATTTTGTTTCAAGATATTGATTGCAATCCCCACAATGCAATAGCCCTCCTCCTGTCTTCTCCCTGTGGCTACCCTTCTTTTCAGTGTATACCTGCCCTCTGAGCTACCTCACTGTACAAATACTGTCCTTGATTGTTATAAGGAATATAATTACCTGGTGTAAATGTTCAACCTATATACCTGTCTATTGTTTGGCTGGAAGCCATGGGAGTGAGTTCAATTCCAGGCCTGAAGGTTGACTAAGGGGCCATAGTCTTGGGGGTTTCAACAGTCTTATCAGACCAGTAAGCCTGGTCTTTTTTTGAATAATATTAAGTAAAACTTTTATTTTAAAATATATTTTTATATTTTATTTTAAAATATATTTTATCTGATTATTATTATCAGGTTTTATTTTAACATATATTTTATCTGATTTATTATAGCAATAGGTAAATTATTATTCATTTATGATGAAATATATGACTTATATATTTAAATCTGTTTATATTTTGAATTTATTTGCTTTAAAACGTTTGAAAACATTTAGTGATTAAATTATAATTCTCTATCTTATTAATGTCACAAATTCCTGTTTATGAATTTATTTACTTTCTAACCTTTAATTGTGGGAGCTCTGGTAGCATAGTGCCTAAGGCACTTGAATGCTAACCAGAAGGCCTGCGCTTCAAACCCACTAGCCACTCCTGGGAAAGAAGGTTAGGCAATCTACTTCCATAGTGATGCTGCCTCGGAAACCCAAGGAGGAGTTGCTATGAGTTGGAGCCGACTCGACGGCACATAGCAACAACAACAACAACCTTTAATTGTAACCCAAAAATCAAGACTCATAAGGCTTTTGTAATCATTTGTATTGTGGAGAACAGTGAAAAATTGTGTCCTGATGAACATTCTCCCAGTTAAGGTTGAAACAGGCAACAATCTGCCTTCTTGTTTCACCTATGTCATAGATATCAAGTGCTGCAATAATAGAAATAACACAAGTAGGTAGCTTCAACAAACAAAAAATTACTTTTCACGATTTAGGAGGCTAGAAGTCTGAATTCAGGATGCTGGTTGTAGGGGAAGACTTTATTCTCTGTCAGCTCTGGAGGAAAGTCCTTGTCTCCTTGTGTGTTTTGAGCTTACATCTTCAGGAACCTTCATGTGGCTTGGCATCTCTCTTCCCTCATCTCTACTTCTCTCACTTTCTCAAAAGAGATTGACTCAAAACACATCCTACACTAATCCTGCCTCATTAACATAACAAAGATAGTCCATTCCTAAGTGGAATTATAACCATAGACAATGAAATTAGAATTTATAATACAAATTTTTGGGAGATAAAATTTAGTCCATAACATTCCATCCTCCCCCCCAAATTCAATCCTTGCTGCATGTAAAACATTCATACATCACATTCCAGAAGTCTTAAACCAATTCCAAGACCAAATTACATCCTAGGGCAACGTTCTGTTTTGTCTGTGAATTTGGAAACTCTCCCAACCAAACCAAACTCAACTGCCATCTTGTCAATTCTGATTAAAAGCAACCCTCTTTGGGTTTCCAAGCCTATAAATCTTTATGGAAGCAGACTACCTCATCTTTCTAATACAGAGAGGCTGGTGGGTTTGAACCATTGATCTTCAGGTTGGCAGATGGGGTAACCATAAGTATAGAAGTTAAGATTTACAACACATAGTTTTGAGGGACACAGTTCAATCCATAAAGAGTTCTAATGCTATAAACTAATGTTATTTTTGTTATTTATTTAATGCCACACTTTCCACATTTTTGTGCTTTTTGTTAGTTGTTTTGCTGTTTAAAATAGCCATGTTATCTAGTTTCCTAAGCACAAGAAGGTTGTGATGGGCTGTAGGGAGAAAATCATTCAGGCATGAGTTATAGTGCTGTTGGCTGTGAGTTCAGCGTTAACAAATTAGCAATACATGTTCAACAAGGCATGTTTAAACAGAACACACATAAAACTAGGTATATTATGTATTGATTGGTTGCTGAAAATGTTGCCAGAAGCTTGCAGGAAGCTACCCTTGTATTTCCCGTGGGAGCAGTGGTTTAGTATTGGCTAATTCAGTATTTGCAGTGACTTTGTAGAACATAGTTACCACAGATAATGAGAATTGACTGGGTTTCCGGTTTGAATGGTATCCAGTAGCATGAATGGTAGTAGAATTAGATTAGGCAAAACTTATTTTGGAGAAGCAAACTATGTAGATATAATATACAGAATGACTATAAAGATAGGAATGGCTCTCAAAAGCATGTAAAAATTATATTAAACAACAAACTTGGTATAAACTAGAAAGTTGCTGCTGTTAGTTTTTCTAGTGGTTTAAATAAGAAATTTTTGTTAGCAGAGGCTGTAAAGCTCATTTTTCTGTATATCTTCAAGAACATAAGAGATAGACATGTCTGTGGACATAACCCAGATCAGTGAATGAACTAGGTAACTTCCTGGATTTTCACTTTTAATTGGTAATTCTTTTTTTCCTTTTCATTTTTTTAGGTATTCTTACCCCAAGTGATGAGTTCCAGTTTTGGATAGACCAAGCTCATCGTGGAAATAAGCAAATTAGTAAAGAAAGAGCCAGCTATTTTAAAGAATTATTTGAAACAATTGCAAGAGTATGTGATTTATAGATAGCTGTTTATCAAGCTTATGAAAGTACTTTAGGATTCAATTTTCACAAGATTTACCTCTTTTATAATTATCCGTTGATAGTTTTCAGCCAAATATGTCATTCATATATAGCATGGTTTATTTAAGAAGTGTATTTAAATAAGTACAACTTAGAAATCCAAAACTTTAAAAAAGTTAAATTCTAATCTCTGTTGTTGTTGTTATGTGCCGTCGAATCGGCCCTGACTCATAGCGACCCCTCCCTGGGTTTTCGAGGCGATATCACTATGGAAGTAGATTGCCTAACCTTCCTTCCGAGGAGTGGCTGGTGGGTTTGAACCCCCAGCCTTCTGGTTAGCAGTCAGGTGCCTTAGGCATTATGCTACTAGAGCTCTTAATCTCTAGTACATATTTTTCTAAACCATAAAATCACTTTTCTGCAGATGGGTAGAGAAAAATAAAAACTTACTATACTAATAGAAAGGAACTCTGGTGACGCAGTGGGTAAGGCATTTGTCTGCTAACAAGAAGGTTGGCAGTTCAAACCCACTAGCGGTTCTGAAGATGAGACAATCTACTTCTGTAAGGATTTATCACCTTGGAAACCCAAAGGAGGTTGCTGTGAGTTGGAATTGACTCGATGGCAGTGAGTTTGGTTTGGTTTTTGGTATAGTTGTATTATTGTTAATGTAACATGCAAAATAAGTGAAAGAATAATTCAAGAAGAAACAATAAATGAATATATACAGTGTATATATGGATTCAAGGCACCTTTTATTAATGAGTGAATAAAATAAATGAGTCCTAACTTAAAGAAAATGACATTGAGGTTGTAAATAGACTTTTCGCAATTTTTATTTCTTGTTTTCATGAAATATCTGTTTGTAAAGGAACTTGTGGGGTATTTGCATAAAGAAGTAATATATCATCTGGTAGAAAGAGAAGAAGAAAATATGACAGATACTAGAATTGTGAGCAGTTGACAAAATCTGAGACCATTTTGACTGTATTATCTAACTTACAAATATGATCATATTTTAAAACTAAAGCATTTTGATTTTAGGAGTTTTATAACTTGGACAGCCTATCCTTATTGGAAGTTGTTGACTTGGTGGAAACTACTCGGGATGTTGTTGATGATGTATGGAGACAAACAGATCACGATCATTATCCTGAGTCACGGATGTTACATCTCTTAGATATTATAGGTACTGACTAAGAAATAGCCTTAATGCTGGGGAGCCTGTCTTTTTTAATAGACCTCATTTTTTAGAGAAGTTTTAAATTTATAGAAAAATTTACAGAAATCGTAGAGTTCCCATATACACCCCTCCCAGCCTGTCTTAATTTTATTTCCTTTTTTCCCTTCAGACCCTTTCTTAAAATACTTCTTAATGTAGTAATTATTACTTAAAGTAACTCTTAAATCATACTGTATTATTTAAATAGATATTTGTATATAGTTGGTAAACTTAAATCATATGTGCCAAATTCTTTGATCATCGATGGAACTAATTTTACAAAGATATTTAGTACATAAGCATGTATAGGCTTTACCTTGAAATGAACTGAAAAATTCTTAAAATAAAACAGCTTACCTGTCAATGTTAAAAATGCATATATGTTTGATTTAGAAGGTAAATGACCTTCACAATATTAGCCTAAGGAAATATCGAGGACATAAAAATGTATGTGCAAAGATTTTTATTGTAGCCTTTGTTTGTAATAGAAGAGTAGAAACAAGTATCAGTTGAGAAGTGGTTACTACAATCATATGGGAATGTATATATACACCTGCTAAAAATTGTATACATACAATTTTATATATATATATATATATATATATATATATACATATACAGGTTGTATATATATATTTCTGCTCTACTTGAAAGGTGTACATGATATATTGAAAGATACAAAAATACAAATTGAGTGTATTGTATGTATCTTTAAAAAATATACTTGTGTGTAAATAATCTGGAAAAGTAGGAACCAAGTTATTGACAGTGTTAGTCTAAAGGTGTGTGTGTAGCTTTTCAGACATCCTTAGTTTGTGCATTATTTTAATTTTGTTTTAAACAAAATTACACAACTAAACAAAAATTACTTCTGTAACTGTTCTGTTAAAAGAAGTTGATTTCTATTCTTATGTCTACTTTGTTGTTTTTAGGTGGCTCATTTGGAAGGTTTGTTCAGAAAAAGTTAGGAACTTTGAACCTATGGGAAGATCCTTATTATGTTGTGAAAGAAAACCTGAAAGCTGGTATTTCAATTTGTGAACAGTGGGTGCTATCTTGTAATCATCTAACAGGTCAGGTGTGGCAGCGCTATGTACCTCATCCATGGAAAAATGAAAAATATTTCCCTGAAACACTTGACAAACTTGGCAAACGCATTGAAGAGGTATTAATTTGGGTATTTAGATCTTTGCCTTTAAGTGTGAAGTAGTTTTTCACTTTTTTTGTGAAAATGTTTTATAATTAACAAGCGTTTCACATATGATTTGGAAGAAAAGCCTGGCAGTCTACTGAAAAATCAGCCATTGCAAATCCTGTGGCACACCGTTCTGCTCTGACACACATGGGGTTGCTGTGCATTAGGATTGACTTGATGGCAGCTGGTACTGGTAACACATCTGACAGAAGTTATTTATAGTTTTGGGAGGGAACAAGAATAAATAAAAGTTCATGTGACATAATTTGTGGCAGTCAGGTGGCAAAGTGCCAGGTACTTAGTGGCCATTAAGTGCTAGTTTCTGCCCCTTTTTGCTTGGTGTGTGATGTTGCTCAATTTGTAAGTTGTAAACTGTTTTGTTCATCTTTGTTGTATAAAAATAATCAGTTCATGTATGGAAGCTCTCAGGCATTTTCTTGGATGTTGGAATTATTTTTGAGCAGGGACAGCATTTTAGGGGGTACTTACTAGAAGTCTCTGGGTGGTGCAAACGTTTAATGCACTTGGCTGCTAACCAAAAGGTTGGGAGTTCAAGTCTACCTAGAAGTGGACTCTAGGCCTGGCAGTCTACTTCTAAAAAATCAGCCATTGGTAACTCTGTGGAGCACAGTTCTACTCTGATATAAGTAGGGTCAACATGAATTGGAGTTGACTCTATAGCAACTGTTTCTTTTAGTGGAAATAGTTGAGACATCTGTGTAATTTACATAAGCAATGAGTTCCAATATGGAATCTCTATATTTAGCTTGAAGGGATAAGCAAAATGAGTATGTGGGAAAATCACAAGGTGACTGTTACCCTCTCTGCTTACTGAAACCATAGTTTTATGTTCAGGGATTTTTTTTTTTTTTTTTAATTCCTTTTATATTGTGAAAGATTTCAAACATGCACAGAAGGAAAATATAATGAATGGCTATGTACCTGTCATTCAGCTTCAGTAGGCATTGACTTTATTCAGTACTTGTTCCATCTTTGGCTCCCCTGCCTTCTCCCTCCCCCTTTTTTTTCTGAAATATTTAAAAACCCAATCCAAGATATAGTATACTTTCGTTTTTGTGTATTTCAAACAGATAAAAAATATAACCACAATACCATTATCAAGTCCAAAAGATAATAATTTCTTTATATCATTTTCAGTTTAGCCAGTATTTAATTACTTTAATCGTCTTAGAAATATCTTTTTATAGTTAATTTATTTGAATCAGGTCCCAAACAAGTTTAACATACTGCATTTGATTAGTCTGTGCAAAAACGGCAAGGAGGCCACATGTTCTGACCTCCTCTAATCTCACAAGAGGAAGACAGGATTACCAGCAGTAACCCAAGGCCTATTACTGCAAGGCCAGACATGCTGCCTCCCTCCAGCCCTTTCACCAACCGTTCCT